AAGAGATTCAGGAGATTCTTTGTTCCCACTGCTATCAGGCTATACAACACCTCAGCCAAAGGAAGTGGACTAATATAATTATTATTGTTTATTTATTATCAACTATTTTTATTATTGTTATTGTTATTATTATCAACAATGAGCTAATGGACACATGAATAAAAGTAAATAAAGTATCTATCTATCTATCTATCTATCTATCCGTCTATCTATCTATCTATCTATCCATCCATCCATCCATCCATCCATCCATCCATCCATCCATACATAATGATTCCTTTCAAAGCATCAAAAGTTTGGGGAAGGAAATCAAATGTTGTATGCTTACAAATCATTTGGCTATCCTTTTGAAGGATGAAGAGCAAGTTAAAATAAATTGTACTGTCTTAATGCATTTTCAGGGTTAACTAATTCAAAAATTCAGCCCTTTTTCACGTAAAGAAAGCAGGACTCACACAACAGAATATGAAGATATTCCAGTTAAATATGAAGTATTATATTTACAAATGAATATTTGTAAGGCACAGTACAATAAAAAACCTTTTATATGGAAAAACAAGCTTCATTATTTTAACAGAAAATACCTCATGTTATTCATACATTCAAGGAGGCTTAAATGTGCTTGATTTTCATTCATCAAATATAATTTTCTCTCCTGACAAATATTTCATATAATAAAATAAAAATAAGTCAAATCTCTATGACAAATGGGTCCAAAACAATATTTTGCTGATTTCGCAATTCATGAATGCGAAAGGTCACTTATTTACATACACTGAATTATATAAGACATTTGGTATCATGATGCCTGCACAAGAATAAAGCATCGTGTTTGATGCAGTACCTGCACTGTTGCAAGGCAGCAGTGTGTCTGACGAACAGTCATTATTTAAGACATGTTGAATGACATCAACATAAAAGATAAAACATGTAAAATCTGAATTTTAAGACATACAGTATGATACATTACCATGCAATTTCTTGTAGCATATTGGAATAACCATTTTGAGAACATCACTTGGGAATTGATTTGGACTTACTAAAACAAATATTTTTTCAACAATAAAGTGAAGTGTGTTTTATAATTATATTAAATCTATCCAACAAACCATTTTCTTAAAAAAAATTATCATTCTGTATTGTGCGATAATGGCACAGAAACAATTCTACATTTGTTTTATGAGTGCATTTGTGTGAAGTTCTTCTGGATTGATGTTAAACATGCTTTGCATATAATGTGGGACTGAGATTAATTTAGAAAATAGATGTTATTCTCATTTTAACTTTTATATCCATAAATGCAAATGGTCTCAGAGGAAGCCCAATATTTACCAGTTCAAGGATGAAATGAAAACTTACTTTGAAACACAAAAATTTGATCTATACAGTGCATCCGGAAAGTATTCACACCCCTCCACTTTCCCCACATTTTATTATGTTACAGCCTTATTCCAGGATGGATTAAATTCCTTTTTTTCTCATCAATCTACACACAATACCCCATAATGACAAAGCGAAAAAGGTTTTTTAGAAATTTTTGAAAATTTATTAAAAATAAAAAACTGAAATATCGCACGTACATAAGTATTCACACCCTTTCCTCAGTACTTTGAGGCACCCTTGGCAGCGATTACAGCCTCAAGTCTTCTTGGGTATGAAGCTACAAGCTTGGCACACCCATATTTGGGGTATTTCTCCTATTCTTCTCTACAGATCCTCTCAAGCTCTTTTAGGTTAGATGGGGAGCGTTGCTGCACAGCTATTTTCAGGTCTTTCCAGAGATGTACAATCGGGTTCAAGTCTGGGCTCTGGCTGGGCCACTCAAGGACATTCACAGACTTCAATCTTCAATCCAATCTTTTGTTGTCTTGGCTGTGTGCTTAGGGTCGTTGTCCTGTTGGAAGGTAAACCTTTGCCCCAGTCTGAGGTCCTGAGTGCTCTGGAGCAGGTTTTCATCAAGGATATCTCTGTACTCTGCTCCGTTCATCTTTCCCTCGATCCTAACTAGTCTCCCAGTTCCTGCCGCTGAAAAACATCCCCACAGCATGATGCTGCCACCACCATGCTTCACCATAGGGATGGTATTAGCCAGGTGATGAGAGGTGCCTGGTTTCCTCCAGACACGACGCTTGGCATTCAGGCCAAAGAGTTCAATCTTGGTTTCATCAGGCCAGAGAATCTTGTTTCTCATGGTCTGAGAGTCCTTTAGGTGCCTTCTGGCAAACTCCAAGCAGGCTGTCATGTGCCTAGTAGAGGCTTCCATCTGGCCACTCTACCATAAAGGCTTGATTGGTGGAGTGCTGCAGAGATGGTTGTCCTTCTGGAAGGCTCTCCCATCTCCACAGAGGAACGCTGGGGCTCTGTCAGAGTGACCATCGTGTTCTTGGTCACCTCCCTGACCAAGGCCCTTCTCCCCCGATCGCTCAGTTTGGCTGGGCAGCCAGCTCTAGGAAGAGTCCTGGTGGTTCCAAACTTCTTCCATTTACGAATGATGGAGACCACTGTGCTCTTTGGGACCATCAATGCTGCAGAAATTTTTTTGTACCCTTCCCCAGATCTGTTCCTCGATACAATCCTGTCTCGGAGGTCTACAGACAATTCCTTTGACTTCACGGCTTGGTTTCTGCTCTGACATGCACTGTCAACAGTGGGACCTTATATATAGATGGGACCTTATATAGACAGGTGTGTGCCTTCCCAAATCATGTCCAATCAATTGAATTTACTACAGGTGGACTCCAATCAAGTTGTAGAGACATCTCAAGGATGATCAGTGGAAACAGGATGCACCTAAGCTCACTTTTGAGTGTCATAGCAAAGGGTGTGACTACTTATGTACATGTGATATTTCAGTTTTTTATTTTTAATAAATTTGCAAGAATTTCTAAAAAACCTTTTTTGCTTTGTCATTATGGGGTATTGTGTGTAGATTGATGAGAAAAAAAGGAATTTAATCCATCCTGGAATAAGGCTGTAACATAACAAAATGTGGGGAAAGTGAAGGGGTGTGAATACTTTCTGGATGCACTGTATAGTCATCCACAGTGCCTTAAAAACCTGTTTTTAATTTGAATATGTATGTATCCCTTTTCTAACAACAAGGATAAATACATCCTTGTTGTTGTTTTGTAACTATTTGTATTCTTAGTGTTCTTTGTATCCTTGTATGATCTTTGAATAAACAAGACTGTGTTTGTTTATTTACTTACTCTAAACCCTGCAGACACTATTTGTGTCACCTGTCCTTGTCACTATAATATTTTTCTCAGGACAGATTTAGTTCTGCTTACTTCTGTCAATTCTGTGAACACTATAGCCTAATTTGTCATCAGTTTTTAAGTAAATGATTGATATGAGGGCTATATCAGACATGCTGTGTCATGCTGTGTCATTCATTCATCCTATGAAAGTGTGGTATAAGGGAGCTCCAGACTTCTGTGATTGTAAATTGCCACCAAAATTGAATAAACTTATGTTATATTTTTGTCTTTAATAAGGTCGCAGCTGCATCATGTCTAAGAGGAGCAGATGTGGCCTGTCAGTGTAACGATGTGGTTGTACATAAAGTCAGATTCCAGTGTGGTCTTCACAGGATGAGGACTGTGAGGACCCAGTTGTCAGAACAAAGACTGATATACAGTAAAAGTCTGATTGTGTCTCTCTCATGACTGATGATTTCTCTGTGTGCAAACACTTCCTCATACATTATCCTGTGTCGTATTATACCGTAATCTGTTATTGTGTGTGTGGACCACAGGTGTCCAGACTAAGGTGTCCACAGCAGGTGTTGGTGTTGGAACAGGAGAGTCCAGACCAGAAGACCAATCCATCGGAGGGTTAATTTCAGCCTCTGAGGAACCTCCTCCATTATCTCCACCTTACTAGTTGCAGCCTGAAATAAAATGATCAGAGCATGGCCATGGTAGCTCATCTTTATTACAGGTCTCTCTCTCCTGGAGGAATAAGTGATGTTGCTACAACACTGTTGCAGGAATTGATATGTGAGAGCATTTGAATCAACCAGCGAAGCCTTCCCTTTACAGCAGAAAAGACACAATGAAAATTTGCTCTTGTTAATCAGTAAACACCACAGATTTTGGTGTCGCTAAGAGAAACTTCTCTCTTCATCAGCGACACTTTGGTTCACCAAAGTGACATTTAACATTTTGTATTATTCATTATGGCACAATTTGTACTGTTATCTATTGTGTCTAATGATCATAGAGTTTCTGCTCTCTTTATAATTATAAATAATTAAGTCCCATGATAGAACTTTATTTCATTTTCGTTATTTTGAAGTTTTATGATGAGTTACTGTGAGAACTGTGAGACTGTTAATGAAAGTGTTGGACAGAGGTTTGGTTGTGCAAGAGCTGAAGAATAATTTCTGCAGTATCTACTAAGCACAACATTATGTATGTTGGTTGTCAGGAGCATAAAACAAAAAGAAACCTTGATCAATACATTCAAAACCTCTGCTCTGTTCTTACAATATACTGTGGCCACAATTGTTTACCCTTCCTCATTATAATAATAAAACTTTTTCTATCAGGCTACTTTTGTTATTATATGCTTGGTTATGATAACGTGGGGGACATGGGACACTTGCTCTGTCATATTATATCATTTGTGCAACATATATTCAACTTTTCTTGGGTAACCATGACCTGGATGACTGAGAATCTTCCCAGATATTATATCATATCCACCACAGCTGGAAGGATGAGGTACTCTCTGATGAACATGTTGCTACAAAATGCAAACATACACATAAAACACATGGATAAAATATCAACTGGTTACAGGTGAAACTTCCAAAGTTACAAAACCTTGGAAATCGAGTAGTTTTTTGTATCATTTAGACAAAATAAAGATATTCAACATTTGTAGAACAGTGTAACTGATCAAAATGTTGTGGGTGTTGATTTAATTATATTTACAAATGCAAAAGTAATTTAATTCAAGTTTGTACCAAAAGCAACATTTTGATTGATTGTTAACATGTTATTTTATTTTTCATACATGTACATGAAGAGGACATATTATCACATCTAAACCCATTTCATAGTTCAAATTATTGAAACATCAAGATGGATGTAAAGATCTTTAAATCTGGAAATTAGCAGCAAGTTTGAATCATATGCTCAAAGATGACAAGAAACCCCCAGCTGCTGATTTCAGCATATCAAGCAGTAACTTCTGACAGGAAAACACCTTCATATGGTGCTGCAGATAAAACAGTCACCAGCTCTTTATCATGGTAGTGTCTAATATATTCATCACCATCATCATCTAATCATCTGTCTTTTTAACACAACAGAGTACATAACAATCAATATTAATGGTGAATGGAGAGTATGTCACCCCATTTATTTCCAGTATATACAGATACTCTCACAAGCTCCATGTAATAAGCAGATAAAAACATGGCTGTTCTTGGGGTACACAGGACAAAAAACTTCACTTAGAGAGGGAAACAGCCATAGAACAAACAGCATATCAACAAATCAAGGGTCTGTTGCTGCTTTCCAAAGATTAAAATACAGGAAATGTACTGAGAAATTCATGTCCACCTTGAGTATGTTTACAGTTTCAAGCACATTTGTCATTAGGTTTTCTTATGAATAATCAGTTTACAGATATGACTTTGCACATGTTAAAAACTGTCACTGATCTCTTACAAAACATGCACACTTAGTAGTTTTGTGTAGTGCTCAGGATGATTTTTTTTAAGGTAAACACTCATTTTTCCTTCAACTCGTTGATCTCCAGTCAGACCTGTAAAGAAAAAAAAATGTATGGCTTTCATGGAAGTAGATGACAGAGGGGTAAATTAATATCCTTCCTAGTGAACACGATGAATGTATTAAACGGTTGAGCAGCATGACAACTTTGAGTTCACCTAGCTTTCCTGCTGTTCTGTCAATCCTCTCCAGAGCAGCCTGCACATCTCCTCCTTCTGGTATGACCATCTCTACCTCTCCCACATGGTAACCAAAGTCAGCTTGGTCCAGATCTATCTTCACCCCCTCTTCCTCTAAATTGAATGACTGCCGCACTGTTGTAAACTCCGCAAAGCACACCAGATTCATTTTGCTCAGCCAAGACTCATCCTGGTATGAGAAGCCTGTTTCTGTGTCTCTGTTCTCACAAAGGTTTCTGATGACCTCCGTCACTCTCAGCTGAATTTCAGGCAGGCTGGTTATCTCCTTGTAGCAAGTGCACATTGCTGCCGCTCCACTTTGTTCTCCACCCTTTTCTTCTGTCCCACTGACTGCTGCTGGTGGACACTTGAGTTCCCAGCATCCTTTACGTTTACGCAGCCACATGTTTCTCAAAGTGAGGTCAAACTGGGGGGTGTCAAAATACTGGTCATGAATTTGCTGCTGACCAACACATACTGCTGAGGAAAAGAAGTAAGAGATGTATGGATGAATAAATACTAATGGGGCTGAAACAAATAATTAACCTTATTAACAAGAGACAGATGGCCTGTATCACTGCACTTACAGAACAATGTAATCAGTGAACATTTATAAGTTACAGCATCAGAAACCTGCCCCAACTCTAAATTTACCCATGTGTAAATGTGTAAATGTGTGGTAGTCAAACTTAAGACATACCCCCAATCTCCTCCAGTGTTTTCAGGGTGTCAGCATTGCATAAAAACTTTCTCTCCACTTCCACACTCATCTGAAATGACATAGTTTCATCAACACCAACAATACTGTAAGATCAGGAGTGCAACTAAATCCACTTTAACCGGCTTTAAGATCCATTTGTCTTTACAGTTAGTAACTTAACAGGCACGGGTAAGTCCTATATGCATTTTCTTTTTTTTTCACTAGGGAATAGGCATTGGGCATGTTATGTTCATGGCATAAATTATGGTTTATTGAATTGTTTCTCACTTTAAAAAAAAAAAAACAGTACGTCTACTCCAAAGTCAATTGTTGTTTTACCCAGCTACAGCTTTGGTTACTAGTTACTGTACAGAATTATTTATTACATACAAAATTCCAGATATAAAATTCAATGTATAAATATACATGAAACTACCCGTTAAGTAAAAAAAAAACAAACAAAATTGCCTCCGGTTCAACCTGCAACACAGGTTAAAATGGTGCATACACAGTAATGCACTGATAATCCAATTACACAATAACAAAACATATACAAAATTATGAAACCCCGTTTCTGTAGCTTCACTTAAGTAAAGTTGTGAAAAGATGAATATTACTTCAAATAGAGAGTTTTTACATCCTACTACTTTTACTCAATTAAAGATCGGAGTTCTTGTATTTAACCTAGATTTTCTCAACGTACTTACATTTAAGCTTGTGGTTGGTCTTGCTTTTGGGAAATTTCATAGTTATTCTGTTCATAGTTATTTATAGTTATTTCGTATTGTTTTACTTCCAAGCATTTAAACATTTGGTAAATGCGCTATAAATGTAAACTGAAAGTTACATATCCGTATAGAATAATATGTCTCGACACAGGCTCGACACATTCAGCGCAAGCTGCTGTGGTCATGCATGAACTACAAATTAAAACCCACAAACTGAACCACAGAGTGTTTAAAAACCCCATTGACACATCAAACTGCAGCCTCACACACCTTGACAGATCAGGTCCTTAAATCCACGTAATTCGGCATCAAAAAACTCAGCAATAGATCAATCGAAGTTGCGCCTACACGTAAGCAAAGTTTATTTTGCACAGGCGCAGTTACAGACAGCTAAGAGGGTGTTGGAGAGCATCAATTCCTTCCCTAGTAACGCAGGGGCATGTAGATGGTTGCAGTTTTTAATCCACCCTTCTTCTTAAGTATTCACCCCACAGAAGTCTCGCCGACCGTATGATGGGAACCATTCGGGGCCCAGCTTTTGTACCCACATCTGAATCATCCAGCAGTGGTTAACTCGTCACTGTGTCACAGTCCAAGTGGCAGAATGAGGACTCGTTTTTATTTTCATTCACCTTTAATGTGAGAATGAGGAAGGTTTAATGTTAAAGAGAGGGGAGGGTGGGTGCTCCCTGTAATTCACATACTTTAATAGAAGTGTATCCGTGAGGCACCATGTCATCAGTGTGCCCTAATCAGAAAGTGATCAGTGCTGATATAATAAGAATATAACAGTGATATGTGGGTTATATAAGGCTTTCTCTCCGTGTCCGTCTGAATGTCAGCAGCCAGCCTCGGGGGGAGCTGTGGTCTGTTTACTACAGGGAAGCGGGGAGAGGGAGGGGGAGAGCAGGAGAGAGAGGGAGGAGAGGGAGGAGAGGGAGGGCAGGAAAGAAAACTTTTCACTTCTGAGGAGCTACAGAGGAAGCGTGTGCGTGTGTGCGTGCTGGAGCGGAGACCATGCAGGTAAAACGCATTAGCTAATTGCTTTCAACTTAATTAAACGTCGTTGTGATCGGTTAATTGTACTGCTTTGAGCAGGAGAGTGGCCTGCGACTGGTGGAGGACCGAGAGACGACGAATCGAGTCTCCTACTAATCCGATCCCTCGTAGAAATCCAACATTAAACCCAAACTTTTTCTGCCTCTCGTCTCTTTTGCCTGCTCTCCCGACACCACCCCCACCGTCGGGCCGACCGCGGCGCCCGTCCTCCGGTCCGGAGCATTTCAGAGCATGTTACAGCTGAAGCGGTTAAATCTTAGTTTATATGGACATGTGTTGCACCGAAGTCTGAAAGGTGTGGATTTCAGCTGTAGGACGCGTCTAAATGGGTCTTCTAGGCGGGGGGCAGGGGGCGACTGTTTTCGAACACATCTGTGAACAGAGCCACGTTCGTTAATTAAACGGCTGTAGTCGGTGTAGGCCTCGGTCTGCGCTGAGCGGCGGAGGCGGAGCGGCGCTACATACCCACAAACAGCGGGGCACGGAGCTAACTCGAGGCCGAGGTTTGTGACCTGAAGCCGAACGAGTATGTTTTTATCCCAGTGAACCAGTCGCAGTGTTAGAGCTGCAGTTCCCACCTGGACCGGGCAGAGTTTGTGGGGGAGGGGGGGCAGTTAATTATCTGTCTGCTAACAGGCTAGCTAGCAAAGTCACACGACTGATCAACCCTTTGGTTTATGAATTTAAAAGAGAAACAGCAGCCAGTGTGAAGTGGCGCATGTCGGGCTGACGTGAGTGGCTTTCACTGAAGCATTATTTCAACTAAACCACCAGTTCTTCCTCAAACACCGCTGTAATGCGACGTTTCAGCCGCTGCTCAGTTTAGCCTGCTAGCTAATTGATTCATCTCTGGTCGGCATAGCTAATTAGACTTCTCATTAATTAGCCAACTATGGGTAAAGAGACGTCAGTCTAGTTCTGTCTTGGCTTTTAATTATGAGAATCGGGATGAGGGGCTTTTAAAGATGATATAGTGTACAGATGCAGCCTTGTCGAACCATCATGTGGTCATATAACCCTGCTAGCCTGCTAATTGGCATGAGGAGGAAGTGAGTACTGTAGCTCTGGTCGTGTTGAACTGACGTCCGGCTGCATCCTGGATTATGGATTTTTGCAGAAAAATACACGAGAACTGCGTGGTCTTCTCACTTATTTAAAACTGCTAGTGCAGCACAGTATGATCTCAGATCATAGTTTACATAGTTTATTGGCCACATGTTCTTGTATTGGTCAAAACTGCGTGTGTGTGGTGGAGGGGCACTTTTGTGATTGTAAATGACCAGGCATGTTATGATTTGCTACTTCTGCTCTGGTCTGTTCTGCATTTAATACATTTTATATGCACATGTGATACCAGATCTGTTTGTTAGATTGAATTCAAAGAGGTCTGAGACAATAGATCTTCTATTTAGAACTCAGGTTACTACAGTGCAATTTCAAATCTGCAGAAAGCATTATTTGGATACTCCTACATTGCAGAGATGTCATCTAAACAATTGCATCTGCTCATTGCAGACAAAATGTTGGGAACCACCTTACAAAGCATGGTTAACATTTAAAAAATAGTCAGGAATGAAACTTAAAAGATCTCGGATCAATTTTATTGTTACATGCTAATTGAAGGGTATGGTTTCAGATTGTTAGACACAGCAGGGCAAGATTAGTGCCGGTCACCCAGCAAAGGTGTGAAACGGTAACAGTATGTTTTTGTCTTGATCTTGGTTATGTGAAATAACCTTCTCACATCCCATCATCCTTTCTTTTTTTTGTCTGTGAAACCCTTCGTACAGTGTTTATGATAAACAGTAGCAGCTCCAGAAAGAGTATGATTCTCTAACAGGCTCTTCTATTTGTCAGGAGGAGTCTGGAGAGACAGTGAGCAGTGAAAGCGATGGGGTGGCAGAGTGGCTTTGCCCCCTCTGCCAGAAAGGACAAACAGACAGATCCTCCCTGTCTCTGCATCTCACAGAGCAACACAGCGTCCTTCCATCTTGTGTCAACAGACTGCTGGACATTGTAAGTGCGGCTGGGCAGTATGGCCAAAATATAGTTCATATGGGTTTTTTTCCCACACGTTATAGACACTGAAGGTTAAAATGTGGTTCATACATCAGCTATGTGCATAATGCCTGATTAGCCCACTTGTTGCTGGCTGATGTACTGGAAGAAAGAAAATGCTGTAGTTCATTAAGTTTATTTTTCTATGACTCTAAGATGTTGGTTCAAATTGATGGTTATTTTTGAGGCAGTCAAGGTGAAAACAGCTTAATAACTGATGCCTGAACTGCTTGGGTATCTGTAAGAATCGGTGCAGAAATGATTATAAGTGGCATGGGGAGAGTTATCAAACGTGTTATGCCAAAAACAGAAAAACTGCAAAGAGGAACAATGGTCACCAACATTTAAAATAAGTCATAAAAACTTGAGCTTCTCCAAACAAGTAATGCATGCTGGGCTGCTGTATTATAATATGTTTCTGTTTCTTTGTCCACACTAATTACACAGTATTTATTATGCATTTATGAGATAGATGGATAACTTTATTAATCCCCTGGGCTAGTCACCCATACACACAATCATCAAAACAATGTCTCAGAAGAGACACAAGTCAGACAGGCTACATGTATGCATTGGAAAGTTTATTAAACAAAATTGTTTATCAAGTGCTCATTGAAATTCATAGTTTGGTGTTGAATTCATCTAACATTTAAAAAAAAAAAAAAATCCAAAGATTGCTATCTAATCCAAGCAGTAGCATTATTTTTTGGATACAATTGTTTACATACAGTCAGGGAAAATATACTGTTACTTCTACATAATCTGTTATTACATTATTAATTAGCAGTTTGAGTTGTGAGTATTCACAGTGGTGTTTTCTGTTTTCATGACTTGTTTGTGCATATTCACTTTCGGCAGTCAGCACTATGTTCTTTACCGTAATAGTTTGAATATTTAATTGTTAGCAAGTTATGTCACTATAAATGTTTTTGCTGAGTAGACATCAAACTTGACAAAAAAAAAGCATCTCAGTGAACCTATGATTTGTATTGGGTCCATGATAGTTAAGTATTTAATTGTTTAGAAATAGAGGGAAATTTGTTGACGGATGAATTGATCAAAGACCGTTTAATATATGCCTTAAGGGAAATTTGCAAATTAAAGTTAAGCTAGGCTTGCTGTGTGTAATATAACCACACATCAATGAGTCACACCCAAATTTTGTGCTGCTCAAAAGTTACATTGCATACAGCTTATGGAGCTGTTGCAGAATGAAATTTGCTGTGGAAATTTTGCCAACTGTCACTTTATTTGAACAGGCTGTTCTAAAACAGGGTGCCAGTGGAGGAAGAGAGGACAGAGGTGCTCAAAAGTCTTCAGGTGAGGGTGAAAAAAAACTTAAATGTTAATTAAATCATGAGAAATAAATCAAAACATTGAACACAGTCGTAATACACATACTGACTTTTCTTAGTTACTGTAACAAAACTGATTAGGTGTCAAATCACTGACCTGATTTACCCCATTAATAGATTATCATGTGGATCTTTCTGTCGCATTAAAGTGGTGTTAGTTATATTTTGAAACTCTAGAAAGGAAAAAAATGAACTCAATGGTTATGTTTTGGGGAATCAAAAACATGCATTCACAGTGGAAAATTGCCCCTGATGTGGGTTGGGTGGCTAGGTGGGTGAAAAGGGTTGATATAGGCATTCAGTATGCGAGCATGTAGTTCTGTTTTCAGCCAGCCCGTTTATTAGAATATAATAGTTAAACCTATATATTCCTGTTATCAGATGCTGAATCTTCACAACTGAAGCACACTGAAGACTTCAGTTCAGAGCCCTTCCAATCGAGCAAGAGTTCAGACGCTACCCAGGCGCTTGGAAATAAAGAGATGGAGGAAGAGAGAATAATGGAACAGGAGGGAGTTGAAGCTGAGTCTGAGCCAGAAGAGGAGGGAAATCAACTCACAGGAGCCAAACAGCAAAATGCAACTGAAAACACAGAAATCCCAGCAGCCAGTGAAAAGTCAGTTACTAAAAATGGTGTGCCAGCTGAAAATAACACCCGCTCATTCAAATGCAATGCCTGCCTGGAAACTTTTCCAAGCAGAACTGCCTTGAGCGTTCATTACAACTCTGCATCCCACATTCAGAGGATGACAACAGGTTCTGCAAAACAGGGTGGGGAAAGTGATCCCATAATTCCCTCAGTTCCTGTCCTGTCTCGGCCATATATATCAAACAAACCTTACCAGTGTGCTGTATGTCGAGTCTCTTACAATCATGCCATCACCCTCGAGAGCCATATGAAATCTGTCTTGCACCAGACACGCAGCAGAAATGCTGGAATTGTTGCACATGCTGCAAACAATGC